AAATTTCTGTATAGCACGATTTCTTATAACGCGAATTCATATAGCATATATGTATTAATCGCATTACACGAGAATTTACTGTATTTCATATCATTTTAATGTTTAAAGACGTTTTCTCATTTTGTCCGATAGAATTAAAATTTTGACATTACTTTATTATTTATATTTATTTTAAGAAATGCAACGAAAAAAATTTACAAATCAAAAATAAGAATCATTCTATGGTGTATCTATGACAATGTATATATCAATATGACCGACATATATTCTTTTAGACTGCTTATATAAATTATATTCAAAAGATTAATTTTTCAATCTTTAGAGACAATTATGTGAATAAATGTTAATCTTTTTCATCTTTTTAATTAATTAATTTTGATTAATAGGATAAATTAAAATGCAATTACCTTTATTAGAAAAGAAAAATTTATTCATCTATAATTAACTTTTCTAGTATCAATATATCGATATATTGTTATTTCTGATCCTTGTAAAAAGTATCGATGAATATTTTATTATCTGTTTTTTACTACTATTGCATTTAGAAATGATCATAATAAAAACAAAAAAGATTCTTTTGATAAAATTTTCATAATATTATTACATATAATAATATAATCTTTGTTTTCTTATTAGAAATCCATCCTTTTAGAATTTTTAAATATGCTTTATTGGTTCAAAAATTTAGAACCAATAAAAAATTCAGAATATATTTATTTATTATAAATGCATTCTTTAGTAATTTTAAAATTGACATTAATCATTCATAAAATAACTTTTAATTGAATAACAATTTGAATAAATTTTGAAAAATTGAATAAATTTATTATAATCCTAATATATATTTTTAATAATGTTATAACATTATATCTTTATAATAAACAATTTTTTGACATTTATATAAAAATATTATTTATTTATTTTCTAAAATTATAATTTAAAAATTTAAAAATTGTAAATTTATAATATTATTATAATTAATTGAATATATTGTTTCATATTAAATATATATTTTATATCGAACTATAATAATATAATAATATAATTTCATAAAAAAAAATCATATAATAATTATTCATTTTAAAGCATATTTAAAAATTTCACAATCTTTGATTTGTTCTTTTCAAAAATGTTTTTATATTATATAGCAAATAAAAAAACTTTTCTTCTCAAAAATTTCAATTAACTAACAAAGACACTAAAAGAATTTTTTCCTGAATTATCCACAATAGATTTGAAAATTGAAATCTTCCTTTTACAATGACATCTTTTCAAAAGAATCTACGATTTGTTTTCGCCAAATTATTAAACTTTAAATTCGAAAACGATGAAAATTTAATGTTTTTTGAATGTTCGCCATCTAATTCTAATATTCAAAGTTCAATAACTTAGTAAAAAAAATTTTCTACATTAAATTTTGATGGATCATTGTAAAAGAGAGAGTTAAATCTTCAAGTTTATTGTAGATTCAATCACTAAGAAAAAAATTTATCAACGTTTTTAAAACCGATTGAATTTTTTAAATCTTTAAGAGGAAAAATATCTTTATTTTTTTGTTTCTGCTATGATATCAATATTATGGAAGAAGATGTTTCACTTTAAAATAAATTCAGACTTATTGTTATATGATTTTTTTTATAGTTATAATAATTTAAAAATAACAATTTCTTATCGAGTATTAATTTCTTTTTATTCATTTTTTTTATATTGTTTTTATATTATTATTTTTAATATTGTTTTCAATATCGTAAATGCGATGTCTTATGATCTTATGTCGGTGATATAATGCGATTTATTTGTAGTTGTACAACGTATACATGTTTGCGATTCTGCTATGTTATCGCCACTGAATATTGCGAATATCACAATGATTGTGCATCATTTGCCAAATCGTAAAATGATTAATGTTCGATTCATATTCAAACAAAAAGCAAAGTAGATACTTTTGATATTGAATTATTGATTAAAGAAACCCAAAAATATTCGGAAATTTGGATATATCGTGTGATACCTATATAAAATAAAAAAAATTTGGCATGAATATATATATTTAAAAGTTTATATTTAAATTTTGAAAAAATATTTGAAATGAAGAATGCAGAATAATAATAATAAGCTTTTTTCTTTTTAAATATTATTTGTAAATATTTGCCAGTATATTTCAATATCGTAAGATTCTTGTAAAAAATATAATTTTTATATTTTTTATTTATTTTCAATTATAGAATAAAAATTAATAATTTGATTTATAAGCAATATGTATTAGATATACTAATTTTGTCAAAATATTTTTGTTTCTAACATTATCGTTACTAAAAAAAATATTCTAAAAATTATTATTTATTTGATTTAAACTTTGTTATCTTGATGCATTAAAATTTTCAGTTTTATTTTTTCATTAATTTATTTATAGTTAAAAAACCTATGAATTGCTAATCTTTCTATTTCGAATAATTACGAAGAATGCAAAAATATTTTATAATGTTCATTCATATTTTATAATTAATGAAAAATAATTTTATATTCAATATTTTATGGAAAATTCTCCATTCATATGATACAGATGCACATTCTGCAAAATGATGACGAGTTGACTAATAATTGAAAATATGTTTCTTATTTCCATAATGTATAGTTTCATAATATATTGTATGAAAGAGCAAAAGCCTTGTCATCAATAATCATAAAAAATATGTTTGGAAATAATTGCGCGGAGTATTTAAATCATTATTTATTTTATTCATCATTATTTTGTTATTGCTTTTAAAAAATTCACTTTTTTTAAATATATAACTATGAAATTCTTTTTCGACAGCTCCCTACATATCTACATAGCTAATAATTTGAATTTAAATAATATGATGAAGAAATATTTTAAAATAGAATCAGATAGCTTTATAAACTTGTATTATCGAGTTTTTCTTACAATTTTAATAATTGTAAAATGTTCAATTTTACAGTTATAATGTAACATACAAGTACTATAATGTAATATATCTATAAAGATATATGCACTTAATTATCTAAACATTTGTAAAAAAATAAAAATTTCAATTTAATTACAGATTAAAAATCATGTAATATATAGACATATTAATATTATTACCATATATTTAAAATATTTAAAATATAAATAATTATAATTAAAGTGATATCATAAGTAGCTATATATAATTATATTTTTATCTTAATAAATTATAAAATTAATTTTGTCAAAAATATTTTCATATTCTTAATAATCATAAAAAATATAAAATCAATAATCATCTTAATAATCATGTTCATAATAATCATAAAAAATATAAAATCCATCATTTTGATGTTTATTTGTTTAATGTTAAACATACATTTAAAAAAAGGGTTGGAAGGAAATTAAAAACTTTGAATGTAGATGATTTTTTAAATAATACATTGATCTGTAGAATATAATTGCCAACATTAAACTTTTTGAATATTCTTGTTGAATAGCAATGGTACTAGACTTTATCTTTAGGATTAAAGATTTGAAAGATTTATGAACGTAATGACAGTAAAACGTGAAAACAAAAAATGTTTAAATATACTGACTCACTTTTTACCTAACAGGAAAAATATATTTTTAGACTGAGATTTCGTTAGAAGTAGATTTTTCCTAGTAGAAGAGGAATTTGATTGGACAGAATGATATCAAAAGATATAAAACAATAAATAAAATCGACAGCAGTTAGTCAGATTATATAAAATGTCACAAATTTATTACAAGTATGATGGATTCATAATATCAAACATCACAGACTCTCAATATAAAGTTTGAATTTTGTGCGAATATTCGAATTTTATATACTTTCATACAACTTCATTTATTTATCTATTTTGTGTTTGTAAATAATTATTTTTATTATAGAAAATAAATACATTCAAACTTTTTAATTTGAAATCTTATTGGAATGTTTTTTGATTTGCTTCTTTATTTCAATAGTCAGATTGATTATAGAATGATTTATCTATAGATTTAAATAAAATATTTGTACAATAATTGATTTATAGATTTAAATAAAAAAGCCATAGATAACTTATTATACAAATATTTTATTTTATTATATTATTATTTTTATAATGCCAATATTCTAGAATTTATTGTAATTTATACAAGATAAATTTTATTAAATAAGGAGTTATATAATACGTAAATTGTATTGCATTATGCTAAAATTAGTTGTTTATTTAAAAATATTCGAGTTTTTGTCATTAATAAATTTTGATAAATAAATAAATAGTATAGTACAGTATATAGTATAAAATATATAATATATTTTAATTTATCGCAAAATGAAATCCAACATACATGTTATATGGCATTGGTATCTTTCATCTTGTTTGTCGAATTAAAAAAAAATTTTGTTTCGTCTTCTTTCAATTCTATGATATTGTAGTAAATACATCTTTTAGAAGATAGACAACAACTAGACTAACAAATCTATTATTTTTTTCCATTTTTTTTAATAAATGAATTTTTCATTTTATTAATTTAAAAAATTTTTTAACATCATTGGTTTTCAATATTAGATTTTTCTTGGAGTAGAATTATATTAATTTCGAATAATATTTAATAGAATATTATATATCATTCTTCGTATAATTTTTTAAGTTTTTTTAATGAAAATTTGAACAATAATATCTGCTTCTAATTTTGCTCTTCAAAATAAATCATAATAGCTCCATAATATTAAAATCTGGCAATTATATTTTAGAAAGATATTTTACACTACTTTTATATTTCTCAATGAAATCAATTGTACAGTTGCAACAGTACAAATATTAATATTATCATCCTGAAAAATTTTAAGGTAATTTTCTTTGCATTGAATATAATAAATATTTTTTCATCAATAAGAAATTATATTCTAATTTATATTAGGAACAATGAAATTATAACATTCAATATTTTTTTCACAGATATTACTTGGATTTGTTTGTGCTTAGTCGGTAGTACATAGCCAACACTATCGTAACGGCTTGGCTAGCTATCTGTAATTAGCCAATATTTTTTTGTTAATAACTCGTTAATAAAACCGTAACGAAAGTTTTTGCAAAAGAAAATATCGCTTGATATTACTTCAGGAATTTTCAGTTAAGAATGTTCCCGCATTTTTATGACCCTGTTGTATAACAGGTCCAAGATTTTGCAGAGTTATAATGCTCTAAGAGAAAAAATAAAAATTAAAAAATATTTAATTAACATGGATTATTCAATCAATTCTTTCAACGTTGAAATTGATTTTTATTATTCGATATTATAAATGATTTTCTTCTGAATATAAATAAAGAGATTGATTCAGAAGTACGATAAATTAAGAATATTATTATAAATTTATTATTACAACATCATGAAGATTAATTTATAAATGTAAACGAAGTAAGAATTTTTTTTATTATAAATGCTCAATGAATTCTTTTTCCATTGTAAAATTTTATCTCCACATTGTTCCAAATTGTTGTAGATTTTCAAATATAATTTCTTAAATTGACTTTGAGTTAACGTATTCTTGAATCAATCTTTTTTTACATTATTGCAAAATATTCATTCACAATATTAAATGATAAGAAATCATCAATTTCATATTTAAAGGATTCGAAAAATTTATATCGATTATATATTTTTTGCTTTCTTTGGAAAATGCTATAAGATCTTAATGTTTTGAATCCTTTTTTTTAACAACTTATATAATATATTTAAAATAAAATTGCAATATTAACAATTTCATGATTTTAATTACGAAATGCAGATAGATATAATAAGATGTATAACATATAAGAGATATTTGCATTATTTTATCCATATTTGAATATTAAATATGCAAAAATCCATTTCTTCATGTATATGTCCATTCATAATATTTAAATAATATTTCCATATAAATTCCTAATTTTATTATAATGCATTAAATTGCAATGATATTGTAACAATTCATTGCGCATTGTCCATTTGCCAAATCGTATAATATCATCGATATTAGAGACCTTTATTTCCTTACAAACAAGCACTACAGTGATTATTATCATTCGATCAAAAAAAAAAAAATTGTTAATGAAAAAAGCAAAGAATACAAAAAAGAATTGAATCTTTTGTTTTGACTCGTTCTTGTGAAAAAAAAGAATAGTACGAGATTTTATATCGATTATCGATAATTATATTGAGATTGAAATATATTCTTATCTATTATCAAGGATTAAAAATATTTAGAATATTCTATCCAATATGTGATTTTTCATAATACATTTGTGAAATATTTATTATCAGATTTCAATAAATGAGAAGAATATAATGTTAGAAAAAGATTATGATAATTTAAAGTAATGATATTCATGTTTATAATGTTTTTTATACTTTGTACAATGAATTCTATCTTGACAAATTTTACATGAAAATTTTTCGAAATATCATATCATTTGATATCTCACATACATAAACTCAAATAATTAATAATGTTCACAATAGCTATCAACAGAGAGCATTCGATACTTGATGCATTTCGTATTTCATTTAAACAAAAATATTTCTGAAGCCACCAAAATGATTCATATCTCTTATGGTAAAAAGAAAAAAAATATATATAATCGATTGCATATCTTGATACTTTTCAAAATAATGATTTTGATTTTCATGCCTCAGTCAATCAGTAACTGATCAGCAAAAGGCACAAAAGAAATCAATTTACAAAAATATTTCACTAATCTTGTTTTATTTATTTTCAAATAGAAATCAAAAATAGAAAAGAACTAGAGATTAGATCTAATATGAAAACTTCGGATAAACGATATAATTATCTTTAAAAAGATATTCCAAAAGGAAATTGAAAAGGAAAATGAAGAAAATATTTATCCATCTAAATGTAAGATCTAATGATAGGATCTCTGGATATGTTTCAGAACATTAGATCCCAAGAAGATTAAAAAGATTGAAATTAAATCATCAATATTAGAGAATAAGGGCAAATTTCATAGTTTTCTTAGATTTTGTATTTATCAGACAAAATTACTGTATTTATCAGAAAATTAAAAATTTCTTTGCAACTATAAAATCATTATCAACTACTAAAAAGCAAAGTATTGCAACAGTTTAGAAAGAATGTCAAAAAGTTTTAAGAAATATTTGACATAATCAATTTTTTTTTTATCTGATGTCATGATGTTTAATTTTATTTTAAACACATGCTTTAAACTAAATTTATAATTGGAAAAATCTTTTCTTAGGAATAGGATAGATGCAATTTTTTTCAAAATAAATAGAAATTAATAGAATAGAATAGAAATAATAAAAAAAAATAAAATAAAATAAAAAGGAAATATTATGTGACCAAAATATAACTATTGGTGATCGTTAAGTCTGTAGATAATTTTTGATTGTTTGAAATAGCTATCTTTTAAAACAGTTTATTTAAAACAAAAATGTTTTTCATTTTTTGAATTGTGTTTGATCTTAAATTTGTCATTTTACTTTTTTAAGCATTTTTTATGAATAGATACTTTATAATAGAAATATTCTGAGAGAAATATGTATAGGCAATAATAAATAAATAAGATCTATTTTAATATAATGTTAGAAAACCTCCTGATTTGGAGCATATCAGATGCTTATCTAGACTAATAATTTCTGAAAATTCAACTGATGAAAAGAAAACAAAGAATCAGTGCTGTATATCTATTTCAGAATTTCTTTTGATTTAAAATTAATCTCAAAAGTACATTCAATATCCAATTTTCGAAATTTTCATTTTCCGATAGAAAATTCTCCAAGAAAATTACTCTCCAATAAAATTTTGATTTTGTATAAAAAAAAATCATGAATTTATCAGTAGAAATAGATTTGTGCCTTTTTTTCTTTTGCTCTCTCATTGTTATTTCAATATCATTTCAAGCTGTATCATGTTTGTTTCTTCGTTGCTCAATCAACTTTCGCGATATTTCTAGATTACGAAACTGCGAAAATGAGTTATTTAATAGCGATATAATTACATACCCTTTGAGAGCAATTTAGAAAATTTTTATTCTGAAATAATTGAGCGATATTTTTAGATAACCATTCTCAATGCAGTGTTCACTCGCAACAAATATTCTCGAGAGTAATTATACTCAAGTGGACATATATCTTTAAATATCGATACTTGACATGAGAATATGCGAATTGTAAGATGTTATAACACAACTTTATTTTCAAATTAATTAATGATGACAAAAATTAAAGAATCTTTCTTCGATATAGCAATACTGTTCAAAATGTTTCAAAATGTGAGTGTTATGATTTTTAAAAATAGACTTATAAATTATGTTCGTGATGCAATAAATTACTCTTATTAATTTTTAAATTCCTAAATTAATTTTCATAATGTACAAAAGAAGAAAAAAATAATCACAGAATGAGACACAAAAAAAAAATCTGTATTTGTTCATAAAAATACAGAGTTATTTGAAATTTGGTTTCCTATATAATAATATTAATAATTTCCTGCTATTCTAAAAAAATGAAGCTATGAAATCATTGCAAATTTTAATTATAAATAAAAGTATTTCATTAAATAAAAGAATTCATTAAGTATTTCTTTTGTTGCTTGTAATGAATTTCTAGACTTAATCTGTGGCAAATAAAATAAAAAACATTCCCTTGTTGAATAATAGTTGAAAGGTGAATATGGCAAAAAATATAAAAAAACAATTCATTGAAAAAATTACAATGATAGTTTGAAGATTGAAGATGTAACGTGTTTCAATTGACCAGTTCAAGATTCGAATATAATTATAGATTCAATATAATTGAGATTTTAATAAATATAGTTAATTGAAATCGAATCTCTATGATTTTGAATTTTATTTTTCTTTACGACTAAAAATTTACACTTTATTTTATATAAAATTATTTATTATTATAAATATAGAATTTTATAATTATAAGCAAATATATATGATTAATTAATACATAGTTCTTATTATTAATGATTACTTATGATTATAATTATTATCTAGAAACTATAATTTATATCCTAATTATATAATAACAATTTTGAAAATGAAAGAATTTTCTTAGAAAAAAATAAAATTGAAAATTGAAAAAAATATCAAAATCAATCAAATTCTTCTGGTCTGGTTGGAGAATTCGAAATGTTTTTTTGATTTTTAAATTTATCACAATTTGAAATATTCGAAAAGTTAACCATTGATCAATTGATGATTTTAACTTTGATTTTCAATATGTAACGTCTTATTCGAGAGAGAAGAAAAAATTTAAGATCTGAGAAGAATTTTTATGTGACATTCAACATCTTAATTTTAGTGATATATATATTGCGATAACACATTCAATATCGTAACAATGTGATGATGACGAAAGTCATGATATTTAGTATCATGATTGTAAAAATCATAATTTATTACCACGTGAAAATATATATGTATATACATAGAGCGTAGTAATAGCGTAATAATCACATTGTATTTTTCCTTTTCTAATTCTTCTCTCTCTATTTTTAAACGAGAATGATGTCATGTATTTAAGTAAATATTGAAAATTAGAGTCTCATCTAACTATTGTAAGTTAAATTCCTATCATCTTGAAGTATCAAAAGGATTAAAATAATAATAAAGGATTAAAAATTGATTAAAATTGTTGTTGCCTTAGCTCATTTCGGATAGAAAGATTAAAAAATATTTATCATATAAATCCTCGAAGAATGATGATTCTCGTTCATTCTATAATTCGATAATTATATTGCGCATATCATGCTACCAAGAATCGTCGTTCGTGATTGTCAGTGACTTAGTCGTCGATATCATGACTCAGCATGCGAACTGATCATCGATTCATGTTCGTAGCCATCTAGTGACCGCAATGAATACTTTTATCATTATTGCTAATGATTGGTTTATCTTATGTTGAATTCAACTGCTATTCGCGAATTAGAATAAGATATAGCAAACACGTCTGTGAACAGTGAATAATAGCAGTTAGTATATTAAAAAATGTCCTTACAATATTTATCAAATCATTTGAGAATTATAATTATAGAAATTAAATTTTTTAAATATCATCTGTTAGTGTACTTATTTGCATACGACTTCTATTTATTTTTATTGTTGTATAAGAGCTATTCGTGAGATATTCGAT